TCTAAAGTAGAAGATAAAGCTAGCCTATATTATAATTCTAGAAGATAATAAAACTATTCTTAAGTTAGCTAACTTCTTTAGTTATATACTTAAGTGTAGCTAATAGTTTATAAAAAGTAGAAGTAGTTAAGAACGCTAGACTAGCTTAGTTACTAGATTTTTACTAGCGCGCTTCTTTCTAGTGTACTTCTTTTTAGCGCGCTTATCTCTAATAAAAGAATAAAAGTAAGTAAACTAAAATACTTTTAAAAAGCTTTTCTAATATATTCTAAGTTTATCTAGCTTTTAAGCTTTAAAGTAGTAAGTAGTAAAAAGTAGTTAAGTACTTAAAGATAAGAAAGAGAGACTTAAACTATAGAAGTAGTAACTATAACTTTAAGAAAGAATGCTAGCTTTTAAAATAAGAAAAAGAGAAGTAAAAATTAAACTATCTTAGAACTCTAAGGCGTAGATAGCTTTTTAAATACTTTTAGAAAGCTTTTTACTAATTACTATCTAGTAGTTATAGATATTAAAACTCTTATAAAATAGTATAAAATTTAAGAAGTACTTAACTACTCTTCTTATAATCTTAGTACACTTCTTAGTAATACTATATAACTTTTTATTTATACTTTTATTTATAGTATACTATTTTATAAAAGTTTTAATATCTATAACTACTAGTATTAATAAGTAGAAGAGATTAAGCTATCTTAGAACTCTAAAAAGAAGATAGTATTTAGAGTACTTTTAGAAAGCCTTCTACTAATTAATACTTAGTAGTTATAAGTATTAAAACTCTTATAAAATAGCTAAGTATTATAACTTTTTTATTTTATATTTTATACTATTTTATAAGAGTTTTAATACTTATAACTACTAGTATTAATTAGTAAAAAAGATTAAACTATCTTAGAACTCTAAGAAGAAAATAGCCTTTAGAATACTTTTAGAAAGCCTTTAACTAATTAATACTTTACTTTTCTAAATTTATTAGCTAAGTAATTAAAGTATAAATACTAGACTAGCCTTTTATTTTTTTCTAAATTAAACCTTACTCTATTATTTTTTTTTCTCTTTTATTCTTTTTTTTTCTCTACTACTTACTATAAGTAATAAGATACTACTCTAAAATATATATATATACTAAAACGCTATTTAAAAGCGCTCTAATTATATTTTAAAAAATATACTAAAACTATACTACTTTCTTTTCTTTACTAGAGAGCTTAATAAAGTTTAAAGAGAAAGATAGTAATAGTAAGTATATTATTTTTATTAGAGAGCTCTTTTACTATTACTACTAGAAGAAAAATAGTAAGAAGCTTTATAAAGTAAGTTAGCTTTTATAAAAGTACTATAAATATATTCTAAATACTATCTAGAGAAAGTTCTTAAATTATAACTTTCTTATTATTTATATTAAGAAGTACTATCTATAGTATAAGGTAAAGACTAGAAAGGCTAGCTACTTATTACTTATAGTAAAGATAGCTACTTTTATCTTCTATAAAAAGATTTTAAAAGTTTATACTACTAGTAGCTAGCTAAAAAAAACTTTTAAGAAAAATATACTATAAAAAAGTATTCTAATTACTTTTTTAATATACTCTCTCTATCTATCTACTTTAATATCTTTACTACTAACTTAAAAGCTTTCTAAGAAGCTTAAACTTTTAAAGCTACTTTTTCTAAGAAGTAGTAAGTATAAAAGAGTAAAAGTTATACTAGTAGTATCTTTACTAAGGTATAAATTAAGTAATTATAGAGTTTAAAAGAAAGTAGTAAGCTAAGCTTTTTTATTATATTAAAAGCTATATTTCTTACTTATCTAGCTAAACTATAATATCTATAAAAAGATACTTTTAGAGTAAGATATTACTAAAGTATATAGTTAGTATAAAAAAAAAAAATTAACTAGTAAGTATACTAAAATACTCTTTAAATACTCTTCTAACGCTTTTTAGTATATTTACTTTAAAAAAACTATAAAAATATATATTATTTTAAATTTTAAAGCTTAGAGAGATTTTTTATAAAAAGTAGATATTTCTATTTTATAAAATACTATTAGACTTACTAGAAACTATATATTTAAAGTAACTTCTAGTAGCTAATATTCTTATAGTAATAGCTACTATTAATTCTATTACTAAATCTATCTCTTTTATACTTAAAGTAGTAGACTAAAAAGTATTAGTAAAGTATTTAAAGTATATTTTAGTATTCTTACTCTTACTATTAGTTCTATACTTCTTTATATAAATAGAGTAAGATATAATATAACTAGTAGTAAGTATAATACTTATTATTTACTTAAAGTTAAACTATAAAGTATAGTTAGAAAGCTTTTAAATAGTATTTAGATAGTATTTTAATTTACTTACCTCTTCTCTATAACTACTAGTTAATCTTAGAATTAGCTTTAACTTCTTAACTATTATAAAAGCTTATTAGTAAGCTAGAGTAGTAGCTTTAGTAGTAGCTTAACGCTTAGTAAAAATATAGTTATACTTAACTTAGAGCTTATTATACTATTTTATATATTATTAGAAAGCTTTTTAAGAGTATTATAATAGTATTTTAATACTTATACTTAGTAAAAGTAATAACTCTTTAGTTTAGCCTACTTTTTTTATTTTCTAAAGATACTACTTTATAAAACTTATAAATATTAAGAAAATAAGTATAAATAAAATTATAGAACTTTATTCTTTTTTATATATTATTAAAAAGCGTTTAAAAAGTAATATAAAAGTATTTTAATATAACTTACTTTATATAGTACGCTAAACTTTTTATAGTAGTAGATAACTTTACTAAAGTTAACTATAAGCTAGTTTTAGTTATTAAATTTATAGCTAGAGTAACTTAAAGGTAAAGTAGTAAAAGCTAAGTATTACTTATAATTATTCTATATATTATTAGAAAGCTTTTAAAATATATTAAAATAGCTTTTTAATAGTTTTACTTATAAAGCTATATAGTACTATAGTAGTTAGTTAGTTAGTAGGTAGTAAGTAAGTAAGTAAGTAAAAAGTAAGAGAGTTTAGTTTTAAATTATAATTTAAATATAATTTTATATATACGCGCTAGTATAAAGCAGCTTAGTATCTTAGCTATAGTCTACCTTAGCAAATCCTATAGTTAGGTAACCTGCATCCTTGATTGTGTTGCAGTCTAGCGTTGTAGTTCATTTAGTTATGTTGAAGTTGCTTGAGTTTTGCTGCGCCTGCCTTGTGGCTGGGTTCGCATTATGCGAACCACGGTACCAGGTGTCATAGCGTGGTGCTACCTTTCAGCACGCATGTATACTTACGTCTACACACCCTGCAACCACCAATACTAGGTCTTTGCCTTCTGACCCCGCATCGCAGACGGCAATGTCGGGTGTCGACCACCGACTGCTCCCCACGCGTACCTACCTAGGTACAGTTCTGCCTCAATGTACATGCAGCATGCGCATATCCACGCATTGGGTCCCATTGCCTTGCCTTTGTTGACATCAACGATATGGAATAACTGTGGAAACAACATCACTGTTACTGTTGACGACTGCATTCCAATTCGCGGGAAAGTTGACAATCCCCCGACACGTTCGGCTCCATTGCGCCTCTCATCGCGACATCATCATTCATCGCGACCGGCTAATGCTTCTCCCCAACCCACTCCGAATCACACACACCTACCAGATCCATGAAACAAGCCAGGCTAAAGCCTGAAACATACAAGTTTGCAACTACGGTAAAACCAGCAGAATACCCATCCGCAATCTCCTGCGAACACATGTTGCAGATCAAACATTCAATGTTGCAAGTGTCCACGATGCCATGTTCAACCCAAGACGGGCGCATCCCTCCTGTCGAGTAATTGACGTGCGTCGCGGGTCGGCTCTGCATGTTTTGACACGTTCGGTATCTTTGACCCTGCATTGCAGACGTGCCTCGGTGAGGCGTGCATGCGCAGGCTTGCTCGTGTCTCAGATGTGGCAGGATTGTACTGCTGCAACCTTGCTCGTGGAGGTTGTGATGTAGAGTAGGATGACATCACGTGTGTGATATGCGCCTGCATGCGCACTGCGCGTGCGCATTGCGTCTTCATGCCTCTATTGTTATGCGATTATCTGTGTCTAATAGTTCGTATATTCGCATAAGTGAAAAGTCGATAGTCGGATGAAGCCGACTTTTTGACATTCATTCGAACATCAAGTTGCGCCTGCCTCGATAAGCACGATGCATATGTGACCCCGCGTGATGTGCAATCTCAGCGCGCAGACACCCAGATCACAGATATCCAAGGTCTTTTAAGTTCTAGCTACACCAAGGTGCCCGTAGTCAATCACAGTTTCTCATCATCGACCAAATCCTGCCAAGATGATCATCGCAACGATACTCTGCCTCTTCGCTCACGTCTTTGTCACATACCCGCTGTACCGACTCTATCGTAATTACGTGTCCGCACGTAAGTCTGGCTTGCGCATCATCATAAGTCCTGTCACCCCATATAGTCTACAATGGCAGCTGGTAGCCAGTCTATTCCGAACTTGCCTGGAAAGATACCGGTGGTTCAGGGCCATTGACTGGACATGTTGCTGGCAAGACAACGACAAGTTACATCAAGAACTTGGTCTCTGCTTCATTGTGGTGGCGCCAGGGCATAATGTGCTATGTACGAGTGATCCGAAAACGATTGAATATGTACTCAAGGATTGGAGGGGTTATGTAAAACCTGACAATGTAAATGGTGAGTCCGACGATATGTGATAGGTCACTGGAAGCGGAAACTGACTACGGCTGTAGAGATATTGGGCACGTTTGGGCAAAACGTTGACACGGTATGTGCGACATTCTCTAAGAACTCGCAGTCCACCCCATATTCTTAGTACTCGGAACCGTAAAAGCTAATTCAGAAAGTCAAATGGCGATGATTGGATCCGTCATCGCAAACTCACAGCGCCTTGCTTCAACGAGCGAGCCTCAGCCGCGGTATGGAACGAAGCTCTGCAACAGTCGAAAAACATGATCGAGCGTTGGCTCTCATCACCCGGTGAAAGGACGAACAGCATGATCAAGGATACCAGTACATTGGCGCTCAATGTCATATCTTCAGTCGCTTTCGAGAATACGGAAGTTAATGAACTGACACCAGGTCACCAACTGTCACTTCGCGATGCACTAGTGACGGTTATGAGTACTCCAACCTCACCGGCTATAGCGGGTATCATGCCGCTCTTCAAATTTCCCGTATTCGAATCGCTGCTTCCAACTAATATTAAGAGACTGCTACTCGCCATGCGTGAGTTCCGGCAGTACATGGACGAAACCGTCGTGAAAGAGCGATCAAAAGTGGCCAGCGGGCAATCCAAATCTGCTACACTCATCAGCACGCTCACCAGGGCAAACGACGAAGCCAAATCTGGAAGCGGAGTGTCCAAGTCCAAACTCTCGGATGTTGAGATCAGAGGCAATATCTTCATATTCGCGGTTGGTGGACTGGAGTCTACGTCTATCACGCTATCATATGCATTGGCTTTACTGGCTGTGTATCCTGAGATCCAAGACTGGGTAGCGGAAGAGCTCGATGAAGTTCTGAAAGACGAAGCAACTGATGACCCGGAGTATGCAAGAGTATTCCCACGACTGAAGAGGGTAATGGCTGTCATGGTACGTCCTCGTTCTTCATAAACACCGGCCATCTACTATTGCGCGAAGCATGATCGTAGGCTAACAGAATGGGAAGTACGAAACGCTACGTCTCTACAGTCCTTCGCCGCCTCTTCCGCGTTCGCCCTTCCCTGCACATCCCCAGCGTACTATCCCACAGACCAGTTTAGATTCCAAGAAAGCCCATGAGAATATCGTTCTTCCGGCTAACACCCAAATCATGCTCAACTCATGGGCTTCTCACACCTCATCCGCCAACTTCCCCGATCCGCTTACTTGGAACCCGAAGCGCTGGATTCAGTCGCATTCCGCCGGCAGTAGCAAGGTAACTCTACCCGAGATACTGTCTGCTGAAGAACTCAAGCACCCAACGAGTGGTAGTGGATTCTTCGCATGGGGGACTGGCCCGAGGATCTGCCCGGGAATGAAGTTTAGTAAGGTGGAGTTTTGCAGTGTGTTGAGTAGCGTTCTGAAAAAAGTCAGGGTTGAAGTGGTGTGTCAGAAGGGCGAGAAGGTAGAGGCGGTGAGGAAGAAGGTGGTAAGTGTGTTACGGGACTCGTGTGCAGACCCGCTGCTACTCCATGTCAGACAGCCAGAAAAGTTGGAGTTGCGGTCTATCGAGCGCTAGAATTCATCGAGATTGACTTTGAACGCAATCATAGGGGAGAGGGCCCTTGAACACGTGTTATAAGACAAAAGATTTGGCAGCGGTGGTAGTTGTCAAGGTTCCGTGTAATCGCAGCAGAGTAACAAAGTACTTGTTACCCGCACTGGAGAACATATCTTTGACTAAGCTGCATATTGTGTAGTCTTCCTCTCCCGAAGTCTCCCACGCCATGCGCCTATATTGCGGCGTCTTTCCACCTCGGCCCGCGTCAACTCAGGTGCTCGCATCATAGTGGTCAACCGGCCCTCCATCTCTTTCTCGGTGAGTTCGCCTTCCACAAACTGCCAGGTATCCGTTACGACGACATATTCGACCTTATCTTCGGTACCGTGGTGCATCCAGCTTCGTCCACCCAGCTTGCTTGGGCCCTTCCAAGTCCATTCCTTCAGCTCAGTGTTCTCAGCGCTCAGATACCCCTCGAGCTCATTCCTCTGGAAGTTGCTGCCTTCTCTTCGTACAGGTAGTTTCCATTTCTTGTTTCGCTTTATGATGCGCATCATCTCCGCTTTCTTCCAACTGAGCGTCTCGTACTCAACCCTCAGTACGCGCAAGCCGGGGTTTCCTTCGAAGTAGCGAAGCCACTTCTCTTCCATACTAAGTGGCGCATTGCTTTCCCAGAACCACCAGTCGGAGTATCGTATGGTAATAGTAAGCTGGGTTGGTCGGAACTGAGGTATGCTGAGGATGTAGAATAATTGATTTCCTTCTTCGAGCCAGAACATCTGCGTGAAAAGACGAACTTTCTGGAGTGACTGAACGGCTTGTGGAGTTAGGTTGCGGCAGAATCTTTCGCACGCTGGAGTGCATGTACGGCCATCAGGTCCACGATCTACGTCGAGATCAGTTTGGCGTAACGTCACAGGCTTCGCATAAACGTACTAAACCAAAAAGCCCATTCCAGCTCTCTGAGGAACACTTTCTGACCCTCCGCGTACGCGAGCTTGCACGTGCGCAAAAGTGCAGTGCTGCCCTTGAGCGGACCTTAGAAACCTGGTCGGTACCAGTACGAGTCTTCTGGATACGCTGCTGCGCTGTCTTCATCCTGCATGAGCGCCAATTGGAAGATCTCGTTACGGATCTCGCCAGGTATGACATAGAACAGCGGGCTTTGAGGCTGAAAGTTGGAGGGTGGAGGGATAGGATCAGACGCCATTGGGACAGCGCTAGTTTCGTAGCTTGAGATAAATGGTAGATGATCGCGAAAGCTGTCGAGAAGACGTTATGAGTTTACCTAGGTATGTACGGCAGTTTGGAGGTTGTCGTATTAGGTAAAGGCTGACGGCTGCCTGTTTGGCGGCCCCGGGCACGGCCGATATGGTAAGCGGCCCTGCCCAGGCTGTCGTTGCCCAATGGACGGACGCGCTAGCCGTCGCAGACCCACCGGATGGTCAAATACGGATATTCCTTCAATGAAGGCTATGGTGAAGGAAGGAAAGCAGCAGCCCAAATCCGAACATAGACGTATAGGAACGTCGACTGGATAAAATGATGGGTCGGGCCCGAAGGTGGCGAGTGGAGCTGACACGACGGTTATCGAAGGCAAGTGCATGTGTGACCAAAGAGGGGAAATCACACGAAGCAGCTACACAATCAAACGCGACTAAAGTGACCAAGCATTTGGCAATGAGGGCGCTGCTATATCTAGGTACTGAGGACTACTACATTCGAAAGCTGGTAATATCGCTTGTAGGAAAGAGAGATGAACGGATGAACGCGTGCGGAGCTAGCATGTGAGAGTTGTGCTAGTCGTACTCTCCAATGTTGATCAAATCATTGTCGAAGGTGGAAGGAAGTTGGCACGCTGCATGGATATCCTGTGATGCTTTGCTTTCCAAAGTTATCTGGCAGTGACCCATCCTGGTGCTGCACGGGCTTTGACAGAGAGCACAGCGCGACCACTAGACGACCTTGCGATATACAGTGAGTGAAACCTGCTCGAGCTTGCGACATCTGTAAATGAAGTGAGAGAGCAGTCAGCTGATAGCGCGTTCGCAGCTTACCCAGTCGAGACTAGGCTCGTTCGCGACTTCCTGCTCTCCAGTACTGAACCAGGCTATCGCTCTTTCATCTCACCTGAGATCATCACCCCACGCCTCAGACACGCGCACTCGTCGACATGACTGACTTATGCGGTCTCCCAGACGAGCTCCTGCTCGCAGTCGCCAAATGTCTACGAGACGACACCAAGAACGGATACAGCGATCTCAATCACCTCGCGTTGAGTTGCCGGAAGCTACGACCTATTGCGCAAGAAGTGTTCTACACGGATATCTCAATCACTCCAACCCTGGAACGAGGTCTCGCGCGTCTCGCGCGCACTCTCTTGCAGCGACCCGATCTTGCGAGAAGAGTGCTGAAACTAAGCATCGAGCTGTCCGGCATACCAATCATGCATCTTGAGAGCTGTGTGTCTTCGAGAGAATATCGTCGAGATGATAGGTGTACTTGCGGTATTCCGGAGCTTGGGGCCCACTTTATCGGGTTTGCGAGCACTGTCGAGTCAAGGAACGATATCACACTCCACAACGTTGGCTGGGAAGATATGCTGATGAGTGGCGTAGAAACCGCTCTCGTCAAGCTCATCTTGTGTATCACCCCGGCTCTCAGTGATCTCACACTGGAAAACCGGGGCTCACCGTTGTATGCCAACTACAAAAACCTCGTTTGGGGTGAATTCGGAGAATTGTTCCAAGACGTAGCCAGACACAAGGAATTCGCAGAATGTTTCCAGGGTCTCTCTAGCCTGACTCGACTGACCACAAATGGTTACCCACCATGCAACTGGCTAAGTTTACCCCGACTGGAAGCCGCGAGTATCAACCTATTCGAAGACGCTTTCTATTGCGACGATTACATCAATTCCAACGAGATAATGTGGTATATCGCACCTAGCGGAACTGTTTCTACGAGTTTGACCCGTCTGATCATTCAAGCGGACTTTGAAGCGTTTCACTCTCACGAAGCCACTCATGGGCAGGGTGTGTATGGTCACATGAGAAGCGTTGTCCGTGGTCTTACAAACTTGACCCACCTCTTCATTCTATACCGCACTCTTATCGATCCATATGGCAGGTTCAATCCCCTCAACACTCCACGAGGATCTTTCGCGCACATTGTCTCGCATCTGGAGAGCCGCAGTTTGACGAATCTGACTCTGGACGTTGAGCCCGCCCTCAAAGATCTGGTCAGGTACACGATCATGTTGGAGTATACTCGCGGTGTATCTCCAATGACCTGGCTTGCTGGATTACCTAAACTTCGCAATCTCAATGCCCCACAGGAAGCTTTCTTCTCTGCGAACGAGGAATTCCGAACTTGTCATCTACCTACCACGATCGAGAGCATCAGTATCATGGATGCGACGTACGAGACCAAGCGCTACCTCAAGCATCTCCTGGATCGCCAAACAGAATGGCCAAACTTGAAGACCATCAAGATTGGGGAGAGTCCGTGCAACGACCACTCCGTATATCCAGCGGAGAGCGATGACGACGCTAGCGAAAGCGACGCAGGAGAGCGGCGGAAAGTCTCCGAGGCTGATGACTCAATCTACGAACAGGCTCGGAGCCGTGGTTTGAGGGTGGAGAAGGTGCAGGATAGAACTGCATGGAAGAAGGGATGGGAAGGTCTGGGTTTGTGAAGAGAGTATGTGAGAGCGGGGACGAGTTAGTCAGCAGACAACTGTGCGCTCAATCCGGACTGGCGAGTGGCAGAGAACGGTACCTAAGCAGACACTGCAATCCAAAATAGCAATATAAACTAGCAAATAGCGATAAGAAATATCTTACGGCTGTAGTAAATGTGAAAGCGGATGATGCATCGAACAGGTGTCTTGAGAAACTTGAACAAGCGCGATGGTACATGTCTTCTAGAAAACCCACTAGCCTCAAGACGATTGAGCACAGCAACGCGCACTTGTCATAGCTTCGGGTAAACTATGCGCAATCGGCTGAGCTTTGGGCAGCTGAGTAAACTCCGGGGGTCGCAGAGCGGGCGTTGCCTATGCTGAGACCACAAGCCATCACGAGTGGTCGCAGAGTAAGTATGGGAGCGATCATATGGCTTGAAAACTCTTGCACCGGTGCCATATCGCATGAGTCTCTTCTCTAGTGTTATGGGTCTGAAGTGGTTGCCTGAAGTTCTGAGCGATATAATAACATATCCAGGAACAACATGAGGTGCGGCGAGAACCTCCGGGCTGCAAAACTGAGTCTCGATTTTTGGTCGAAGGTTTTCGCGAGATAACGATATGTCCAGAGACACCATATGGTGCGGCGCGTACTTCCGGGCTGCAAAATCGGGTCTCGATTGTTGGTCGAAAGCTTGCGCGATACAATTCTATGTGATGCGGCGAGTACCTCTGGGCTGTAGTGTCGGGTCTCGGTTCTTGGTCGATGCGCTGATTGTATTCGTTATGTCGTGTTATAGGGTAGCTCCATGATTCTTGTGACGTGATAATATGCTCGTTGGACGCTTTGAGTGGAGCAAAGACATAGACGACCTTATGACTCTTCGCCGTCGAGTAGTGCGGTACTGCAGTTAGCGCGCTTTGAGTCTGAATAAAAGGCAGCCCATTTCCCCCTCTCTCTCTCATCAGAACTATCCTCTCATACCATTTTACCATACCCGTCCGAACTCGCTTCAGACAAAACCAGTACGCATACCAGTACGCCAGATAAAACCATTACTACATCACTACCAATACCGTCGCCATGTCTACCTTTACGCTCTTCCCAAAACTACCCAAAGAGCTCCGCGACGCCGTCTGGCAAGCGAGCATGGCCACAACAGCAACCGTCGAATTCGACGAAGACGAATACATGGTCACAAGCATTTCGTCACCAGCCGCCCTCTTCACCACATCAAAGGAGGCGCAGGCCACAGCGTCGTCCTCCTCTCACCAAAAGTTCCCCATCTGGGGCCCAGAAGACTGGGAAGATCTGGCCATAGATCCCGAGAACACGATCCTCGAGATCGTCATCAAACCATCAAAGTCCGCCACCCTCAACATCACATGGACAGACATCTGGGGTGTACTTGGCGACGCACTACCAGCCACAAAACGCCTTCACATCGCCTGCACCCAGCCTGAGCGCCTGGCCAGGCTGTACATGGCAGAGGAGGCAGAATACCTTGGCGTCGGCCAATCTTGCGTCGAAGCGGGATTGTTCAACAATGCCGAAACCGTTTCGGGTGAGCGAAAAACCCGACAATCACTACACACACACCTCACGGTCACTGCTAGCAAGCATACCGTTGAAGAAATCGACCAGAACGCCTCTGAAAAAGAGGTTACCGTCTGGAAGATGACCAAACACACTTTTTCGGAGTTTGGGCCTGAGGCCAAAGTTTCCGCCAGCAAGGGGCTAGCGCGCGTAGAGGTAGACAATGCCTGTAAGATGTCCGTAAAGCAGCTTCACGACGCTGCGAGGACCTTCGCGCTGCCCGCTGAGGAGGGGGAGGGGGAGGTGTCAGGGGTCGAGGAAGAGGTGGAGGAGAAGTCAGGGGCGGAGCTGACGGAGGATGCTATCGCAAAGCATCTGGAGTGTCAGGGGCAGTGGCCGCCTAAGGCAAAGGATTTCGACTGGGATCCAGAGGGCAGCGTCGCGAGTGGGGATGACGAGGCCGTTTGGAAGTGGCTGTAGTCGCTTCGCCGGACTTTTGTGTTTGTTTTGGCAGCGGAGAGATGCGATGTCTGCTCCTGGCTGAGGTTTGGCGGTTGCATTCGGCGCTGGGTTGCGACGCGAGTTGCTCCCGGGTGAGGTTTGGCGTTGCGGTTTGCGCTGGTTTTCGACGCGAGTTACTCTTGGCACCATCATTCGCCGCACTTGCGTTTAGTTTAGTAATAAAGTCGTCCTCAAAATACTTCGTCTTCTGCTACTGTGAATGCATTCCTGCCTACACTATTGGGTTGTAGTATCCAAACCTGTTCTTCGGATCCCACTCAACCTTCAACTTGACCAACTTAGCGAGCCTAGCATCGTGCCCATACATCTCAGGCCTATCCTCTTCTCCGTTAGCGTAATTAACATAGCAGTGTCGCTTCTGGTTGGTGCGGTCGAGGCCAGTGTATAGCGCATCACGCATCGCGCGCGTGTGTGCGTACGCATCTTTGGTGGTCTGCGTATCGTCGCCAACCCACCACAGAACCGGCGATGCAAGAATTGGATACTCGCGTTCCTCGGGTGCCAACGCAGTGGAAGATACGTCGATAGCTCGTACGCCCTGCATGCCGTAATTCTCCATCAGAGTGATCGATGTGTTGAAGCGTGGATCTGCTGTGATGTTACCAAATAACGTGAAGGCTTTGCGAACACTCTCAAGATCCCAGGTAGGTAGAGAGACACCGGCTCCTGCAATGTTCTGGTTTCGCCTGCAGGGTTGACCTCCGAGGTTGTTTCCAGTCACCGTGTATAGCTCTACGTAGTTGACGTCCGTGGAGACTGTGATAGAGATTGGGCCGAGCGCTTTAAAACGAGCAGCATAGGGTTCAGCTTCCGCTTCCGTGCCCTCGTAGGCGACAGTGTATGCCACGACAGGCTAGTAAAGAGTCAGTATCTGGCAGGTGTATTGCGAGGCTGCGCTTACATTGACGGGATCAGCAGCAGGTATCCTCACGAACAGCCCTGTGAGCGCTAGCTTCGCAGAGCGTTCCGCACTCGGCTCTTCGAATTCGTTGATTAGACTGAAAAGCTCCTCGACCTTGTCAGCCGCGAAGATGATCGAGTAGACGGTCCAGTTGGAAGGAATATCGTAAGTCTTTACTTCAAGACTTGTCACAATGCCAAATTGATGGCCTGCACCTTGTAGAGCCCAAAACAGATCGGCATGCTTCGTCCGGGAGGCTTCTACAATCTTGCCGCTGGCAACGACGATGCGCGCGGAAACGAGACCGTCAAGAGAATAGCCGTATTGATTCTGGAGGAGACTGTGGCCACCTCCCAGCAGTGGGCCTGCTACTGACACGCATTCTCCAAGCCCGGTAACTGGTGAGAGGAACAGTAAGTGGCTGTATGTCTGCAGAGACTGGGTCAAACTCACCAGCATACTTGCCCGAGGCGAACAGGGAGCGGGTGATCTCATATTGCATCGTTCCGCCTCCAACAGTAGCAGTCTTGCCGTTCTGACCGAGTGTCGTAGTATTGAGCTTCCGCATGTTGATCTGAATTCCGTACGATAGGTTGTTAAGCGTTGTGGTCCACCCATGACCACCGGTAACGGCCAGGAATGGGATGTTGAAACGATTGGCCAACGCGACCGTAGTCTGCACGTCGGACTCAGTCGCGACTTCAACTACCACGTTATAGTCAGGAGATATTCGTGGTGAAGCGCCACGGACTTGAAGGTCGTCCCAACGAGCATCCCCTGGAAACGTGATGATGGCGTCCTTGGATAGATGCAGGCTCAACGCGGACGCTGCGAGCTGCAGGTCGTACGATCCTGACGCATATGAGCGACGGGCGATGCAGAGCAGCCAAACTGCAGCGGTAAGAAGAAACATGATGACCGATCGATTCCGCCAATGCTAGAGTGGGAGGGTCGGATGCGGATAAGGAGGTCATGGAAGGTACTGTGCACTAGAGTTGCCTGTCGCTCTGCGTAAGCTTGTGCCTCAGAATGCAGGCAGCATGCTACCTCTTCTGCACTGCGCAGGTCAGTAAGTCAGCTCCGGATTGTCGCCAATCGCGCGAACGTGTCGCTATCGCACTGCATTGCTTATTCGATGATCAGGACTGCATGATGCAGAGCGACGCCGCAGAACGCCGCAGCTGCGGAGATGCCTCTCGGGAAGGCAGAGTTGTGTCATTCCTAGGCAAGCATCGATTTGCACCTGTTTGATGCAGTTAGTTTGGCTGTCTGCCCTTGCCGTATAGTCGAGGGCGATGCCAGGTGGGCGCCAGCGAATCGCGTCGGGAGGGGTTGGCAGACGCGAAGCAGCCGCCAAGGCGGCGCGCGGATGGTCCCGAGGTCCCCCTCTCGACGCGAACTACGTCCTAACCTACGACACGTCAATACCTCAGAGTCGTCGGTAACGCGACATTGTGTTACGCGACATTAGTTACGGAATCACGCCTGCCGGTAGGCGCCAAACTTTGGTATCCTAGCAAGGGAAGTTTTGCCATCTTGGTGAGCGTTGTATTCCGTTCAAGATTGGCAAGGATAGGTAGCTACGACTTGTGGCCTCATCCACGAGAGCGCCGGATAAGCGCTTGGCCAATATCATTCCATATGCCAGATTAAGATTATCTCCCTGAATGTCTCGCTGTATAATGTTCCAGTACTACATTCACCGTCCGACAAATGTCTTCGTCCAATCCACTATGGCCGTTGCACACTCCTCAGGCGCCTCCTCCGCCCCAAAATGTCCAACCCCATCCCCCAACCCATGATTCTCAATCTTGACTCCCTCACCAACCCACTCCTTCCACACATCCGGAAAGTCAAACCTACTCCCAATACTCGCCGCACTATACACCAACAGCAACGGCACTTCAATCTTTCTCCCCTCTTTCTGGTTCTTCTCTTCCCTCTCAACATCCGTCGTAGCACCTTCCTTGTAGTCTTCACAAGTAGCTTTCAGCGTATGTTCTTGGTTGAAGAAATCGCCATAGACGGTCAATGCATCATTGGCTTTCAGTT